TTGAAAGAAGAACAAAAGGATCCATCATGACCAGCTGTATGCAGAGGGCACATTTTATGGTTATTCAAAGTGCAAATTAAGATTGTAGGAAAGCTTAAAACAGTCGTAATACATATTTTCCCAAACGAGCCTAATAGGAAGACACTGTACACCTAATACAGATCAGACATGTTTCAATTCCATACACAGGTTGGTAAAGCTCATTACATTCAAACTGTGTGCCTGCTGTATACAGAATATCATGAAATAAGAAAAATACCTGATCAAAAGGAACGGAAATCAAGTTTTGTGCAAACAGATAAACCGATCGAACCAACAGGGGTCATGGAAGTGATCAGCTCATAATGGGTGATGGAGAGCAGAGGAAAACTATTCTGAATGTATCCAAGAGGGCAGTTCAGATGCAGGCAGGCGTTCAGCAAACCTGCAGATGGAGACAGAGGACCTCTGGAGGACCTCTGGAGAAACTCTGGAGGAACTCTTTGGAGGACCTACTGGAGAACCTCCTGAGGACCTCTGGAGGAACTCTTTGGAGTACCAGTGGAGGACCTACTGGAGAACCTCTTGAGGACCTCTGGAGGACCTCTGAGGGACTCAGGAGGACCTCTGGAGGAACTCCGGAAGAGCTCTGGAGGACCTCTGGAGGAACTCTGGAGGACCTCTGGAGGAACTCTTTGGAGAACCTCTGGAGGAACTCTGGAGGAACTCTTTGGAGGACCTCTGAAAGAACCGTTTGGAGGAACTCTGGAGGAACTCTTTGGAGGACCGGCTCGAGGAACTTTGGAGGACCAACTGGAGGAACTCTGGAGGAACTCTGGAGGAACTCTGGAGGACCTCTGGAGGACCAGTGGAGGACCTCTGGAGGACCGGTTCTCCTCACGGTCCCGCTCTCAGTCCATCTTCTCCTTGTGAACCAGCTTTGGGGCGTCCACGAAGTCCTGGCCGTTGAACAGGATGATGGTGGCTGTGATGGCACTGGCAGCCCCCCAGAAGATCACGTAGGCCAGGGTCTCTGTCCACGTGTCACCTGGAAGACAGACACAACGGGAAGGGAAGGACCAGTCTCCAGTCTCCAGTCTCACAGCTTTAGCCCCTAAACTAAACCCTCGGGAACAGGTAAGCATCACAGGGACGGACTGACCTGCCATCAGGAGGCAGACGATGCACATGGAGAACGCGACCAGCATGACGATGGGCAGCTGCGAGGAGAGCAGTCAGAGGTCAGAGGTCAGGGGTCAGGGGTCAGGGGTCAGAGCATCCCTCCGGGGCGGCTG